GATTTATGGGTTTCTTTTCCTCCTGATCCTCGTGCCATCTCTCAGACCCATTGTTGCTGCTGGTAATCGTGGGATCAGGGAAGAAACAGCAGCTTGGATCCAATGACCATGTCAAGGCAAATTGAGTGTCTCTTTTCCTCAGCCCTGCTGTGTTTTGTAGAGTTTGGAGCTGCAGAACCTCAGTCGCTCTGGAAGTGCCAGAATTATCCCCATGCAGGAGCAAACAGCATCTGTTCCCATGTCTGACTCCCTGACCATGCCAGGATGTCTCTGCTGCCCTGATGGCACTGGGCTGGCACTCACACAGTGGTTTTGGGCAGTAATGCATATTCTGAGACATATTTACCAATTATTGTGGCTGGCTGAAAGGTGAAAGAAAAGTCTCCCATGATCGTGATACTCCTCAGTGGTCTCTGCAGCTCCACATCTGGTCTGCCTCTGGAGAAAAATAGAACTTTTTTTGTTGTTGTTTATATAAATAGATGAATTTTGCTGGTTTTCTTTGTAGCAAAATCACTCTGGTGTCAAGAGCTGACTGGGAGCATGCTGGAGAGTCCCACAGAGCTGCTCTCACATGTCCAAATAGAGACACCAAAACCACCCTAAGCTGAAACAGCCCCTTCCAAGACCAAAACATGCCCAGATTTTCCCAGTTTTATTCTGGCAAGACTTTGGGGAGAACAAAGCCTGAGATCTATAATGTGTTCTTAAAAATCTGTGAGAAAGCTTTGCTTTTCTTCTGTTACAGTGCAAATTCTGGGAATTAATAAAGGTTGAAAGTCTCCCTGATATAAGTCTTGTAGAGACTGCACTGGCTGAGACGTGGTGTGAATCTGTGCAGGGATTCCTTCCAGGATTTCTGTGTGTGGATAAAATCAGGTGCACAGTTGGTGTTGAGCTGGTTCTTGGTGTCTTCTCCAAAGTGTCCAAAACATGGGGCAGAAGCAGTTGGCACTTGTGAGGGAACATTTGTGCAGGTGCTGGGACATTAACACGCCTCTCTCCCACAGTGAACCACGGATAGTGAGCCGGATATTTCAGTGTTGTGCCTGGAATGGAGGTGTCTTCTGGGTATGTGGAAATTTTTCTTATTCATTACAGTTTTTGTTTTAAAACCCCTGTGAAAACCCATGTCCTGCTCCAACTCTCATAGGCTGTGAGTGATGAACCATCAGCATGGCAATAGGAATTGCTGGGAATCACCACATTCCCATCCCAGTGCTGTATTTTAAGGGATTCACTCTGTGATACAGGATCACAGACTTACTCAAGAGATCCACACATGAAACCCAAGCTTCTTTTCCAAGTCTTTGAGACTTCTCTCCTCCTGAACATTCAATTCCTGCTTTGCTGCAGCCTGGGATACTGTTTTGCCAATTGGATATTGACATCTTAAAGACATTTCCTCAGCTCTGACTTGCTATGCCTGGTTCATAAGGCTGATCCTTAATGGAGCCAACACTTCATAAATCAAATAACCAAATAAATGGCTTCATTTTCTCATTACATTGGTGCAGAGTACGTGGGATGGGCATGGAGATGTTAAAGTGTTCACCTGTAGATTGTGGCTGTATTTAAACAGAAATCCTTGCTCGCCTGTATTTGTAGATTGCTGGGGGAGGAGAGGCACATGTGCCTTTGGATCTGTAGCCACAGGAGCACAAAATGCCCGTGCAGTGCCTCACTGAGGGCCCTTGTTTGTTTTTCCCTGCAGCTTAGTCTCTTCTTGTTCTACCGAGTGTTCATCCCCGTCCTTCAGTCGGTCACGGCGCAGATCATCGGTGGGTGCCTTTCCCCTTGGGGCTTCCAGGGTGCTCAGCAGTCCATGGGATGAGCTCAGGATTTTTGTCCCATTGAGCTGTTCCTCACACCTCTGCCTCCTTGTGTTGTCTTCCTCTTCTTCCCAGTCCAGTAGAAAACCAGGGGTGGATCACCCTGCTGACAGCCTGTGCACATCAGGGATCCAGCCTGGGGGTCCTGCCATTTCAAACACATTTGTCACTGTGTTTTTTAGTTTAAATAAAAATCAAGTGGGTGGAAATGTGCTTTTAAAGACATTTAGAGAACTAGAGTCAGGAGAACCTGCCTGATGGCTGTGCCAGGAAGCATTTGGAGGTTCCTACACCAGTTCCTCACGTCTGTCTGTCTCTCTTCCAAAGGTGACCCTTCCTTACATGGTGATGTCTGGTCCTGGCTGGAATTCATCCTCACCTCCATCTTCAGCGCTCTCTGGGTCCTGCCCCTCTTTGTGCTCAGTAAGGTGGTCAATGCCATCTGGTTTCAGGTGGGTGACAGGAGCCTGGGCCCTTCCTTGAGCAAACTGGGGGAGTTTCCTCACTGGGTGGGGCTTGATGAGGTGGTGTGGGAGCACAAGATGAAATCCCACCCCAAAACAGGCTCTGGGCATATTCCTGGTGGGCAAAAGCAGCTCAGGAGCTGGGTTTAATTTCCCTGATGCCCCCATTGCTCTGGATTCCATTTGCCTCAAGCCCCTGTCTCTGCTGGCAGGACATTGCGGATCTGGCGTTCGAGGTGTCGGGCAGGAAGCCTCACCCCTTCCCCAGCGTCAGCAAAATCATCGCTGACATGTTGTTCAACCTCCTGCTGCAGGCGCTTTTCCTCATCCAGGTGAGACAAGGAGCCACCCCAGCAGCTCAGGTGCTGCCCTCCCCTGAATCTTGAGCATCCCTCTCTCAATCTGCTCCTTTTCTATCCCAGGGAATGATCGTGAGCCTGTTCCCCATTGACCTCATTGGGCAGCTGATCAGCCTCCTCCACATGTCGCTGCTCTACTCGCTCTACTGCTTCGAGTACCGCTGGTTCAACAAAGGTGAAGGAGGCTCCCTGCATGGAAAGGAGGGAATTTGCCTGGGTTGAGCATTTCTCTACTGAAGGAGCAGCCAATTCGGGTGTCAGAGGCTGATGTTCCATCAGGTTTTATATGGGATGAGGGTAAATGTGAGCCAGCAGTGTGCTCAGGTGGTAAGAAGGCCAGTGGTACCTGGCCTGTACCAGCCCCAGTGTGGCCACAGCTCCAGGGCATTGCCTGTCCCCCTGTGCTGGGCACTGGTGAAGCCTTGAGTGCTGTGTCCAGTTCTGACACAGCCCTCGTGACAAGGACATTGAGGGACTGGAGCATGTCCAGAGATGGGTGCAGAGCTGGGGAAAGGTCTGGAGCAGCCAGAGCAGCTGGCGGAGCTCAGTCTGGAGAAAAGGAGGCTCAGGGGTGACCTGGCTCTGCTCAGCTCCTGACAGGAGGGGGCAGCCAGGGGAGGGTCAGGCTCTGCTCCCACATAAAAAGTGACAGGATAAGAGGACATGGCTTCAGGCTGTGTCAGGCTGGACATCAGAATGAATTTCTTCACTGAAAGGGTGGTCAGGCATTGGAAGGGGCTGCCCAGGGAGATGGTGTAGTCCCCGTCCCTGGGGTAGTTCAGGAAGTAATTCAGTGCTCTGGTCTATTGACAAGGTGGGGATTGTGCAAAGGAGGTGATTTGAGGTCTTTTCCAGCCTATATCGTTCTGTGACTCTGTATGTAGTGCGGGTGTCTCCTCCCCATGGGTTCATTTCCATGAGATTCTCCTCTTGGCAGGAATCGAAATGCACCAACGGTTGTCCAACATCGAGAGGAACTGGCCCTACTACTTTGGCTTTGGCTTGCCACTGGCATTTCTCACGGCCATGCAGTCCTCCTACATCATCAGGTGGGAAAGCCGCTCTGGCCCCTTCTCCTCTGACACCCACCGAGTACCCCTTACTTTATTTTATTTTACTGTATTTTTCCCCTGCAGCGGTTGCCTCTTCTCCATCCTTTTCCCTCTTTTCATCATCAGCGCCAACGAAGCCAGGACCCCCGGCAAAACCTAGTGAGTATCCTTCACTGCCACCCACTGATCCTTGTCCAGCTCCCCAAATCCCTGCGGGGGCGTTCCTGGCACCAGGAGCTGACGGACTCTCTTCCCTTTCAGCCACTTCCAGCTCCGTCTCTTCTCCTTGGTGGTTTTCCTCAGCAACAGACTCTTCCACAAGACCGTTTACCTTCAGTCCGCCCTGAGCGGTGCTTCCTCCTCCCCCTCCTCCTCCACCTCCTCCTCCTCCTCGCCCTCTCCTGCCAAACACGCGGCTGCTCCGGGGCACTGAGCTGCCCCAGACCCCGGGATGCGGGACCCCCGCAGGCTTCTCTGCGCCCCCGATCTCCAGGGACGGGCAGCACCAGCCTGACGAGGTGTCACTGTCAGTTCTGCGTCTCCCCCTGGAAATTTTTTGGGGGAAAATCTGGGTTTTTAACACCTTTGTGAGTTTCCAGGAGCCGGGTTGTGCCCTGCGCTTGTTTTATAGTGGACTCTTTTGTACGCCTTTCCCGTGCCATCTCCCCGCCCCGGGCCGTGGGTCGGAACCCCGTCACCCCTTTTGCCGTTGTGTCCCTCCCGTGTCTCCCCGGTGTCCCCCTGCCCCTCGTCCCCTTCCCGCTCCCTCCATCTCCCCTAACTCAGGTCGTGGGAGGCGGGCGGGCATTTCTGGGCGCTCCCGCTGCCGTCCCCCTGCCGTGCATGTACCGTTTCTGTCGGGTCGGGGAAGGAACCGGTGACGTTCAAACCCCTTTGGCTATTTCGGGCCGGTTTATCAACTTTTCTCTAGTATTTTCACACTGAAACATTAAACGGAGAAGCCACGATTCTCAGCCGCTCAGCGCCTGCCGCTCCCGCTGCTCGGGCCGGGATGGCGGCCGGGCTCCCCCGCCGTGCTTCCGCCGCCCACGTGGCCGCGCTTCCGCTTCCGCCCACGTGACCCGCCCGGCGCCGCCAACCCGGACGGACACGTCACGGCTCGTTCCCCGCCGGCCCCGCCCCCTCCCGCTCCGCCAATGGGGGCGCGCCGTGCCCCTCACGCACCGCCCCGCGCCCGACAGATTTCGGCGCTTCGGCCAATGGGCGCGGCCGCGCCTGGAGTGGCGTGCGCGACAGCCAATGGGGAGCGGGCGGGGGCGGGGCGCGGGCTGGCGGCGGCGGCGGCTGCGCGGGGCGGATGGACGGGGCGGCGGGGCCGCGGTGAGGGACGGGCCGGGGCCGGGACCGAGCGGGGCCGGGCGGCTGCGGCACCTCGGGGACCGCGGGCCTGCAGGTGGGGGTGCCCGCGCTGCGGCGTGCGGGCTCTGCGCTGTGAGGGACCGGAGCGGTCACGGCCTTGCAGGGAGCCCGGGGTTGGGGGGCCCGGGCGGGCGGGCCGAGCCCCGGGGCTGACCGGGGGCTGGAGCCTGGCGGCTCCTCCAGGAGTGCTCAGTGTCGCTGCGAGCTGCTGGGGTGAAGAGTCCCCCGAGGGCGGCCCAGGGCAGAGCACCCGTGCCCGAGGCATCTGCACCGTGCTGCGTTATCGCAGGGGATGCAGGAAACAGCCACCGCACGGCATTTCTGTACCAGGCAGTGCCCAGCGTGCGCCAGCCGGAATCGCTTCTGGGCACGGCTTGTTTGGGTTTTCAGTCTCAGGCTTTTCCTGGCCTGTTTGGGTTTTATATCTCAGCTCAGAGACCCGAGCTGCACATTTACTCAGCCGTGCTGGGACTGAGCCTGCCGGGGCACTGGGAGGGGTTTTCCTGACTGATTGGGCAAGAAACGGTTTGAAGAAATCTGAGTGTTTTCAAGGTGGAAAGATGTTAACGCTGTGATTCTTCAGTAAGAGTGTCACTTCCTTGGTGTGCAACCCCAGGATTTCTGTGGCTTTTCCTCCCCCCAGAGAGGTTGAATTAAACAGCCACGTTGTCTGGTGTGAGCAATACCAATTTACTGTCCTTGTCTACGTTAAGAAACTACTGGTATATATATGTGTGTATATATATGTATATTTGAAATAAGTGATCCAAACTGGGAGTAGCCAGGAGCCATTCAGATCTCCTGTATGTGAGAAAAAGCACCCATTTCTTGCATTCTCCATGGACTGTATTTTTTTTTGTGCATTGCTTGCAGGTGATGGTTAATCTTCAGAGAGTATCCAGAGGGAAAGCAGGGGTTTTGCTCAAGTTTACACCGTGGTTTTGTTCTGTGCACAGAGAAACAGGCGCGTCCTCTGCCCCGGAGAAGTTCTGGGCTCTGTAAAGGAAGGAAAACCAGCCAGGATTTGGGGTGACAGCTCAGCTCAGCACAGGAGGTGAGGGGTTTATGGGGGGAGACACAAGCACCTGGCAAGGGTGAAGGCTGAGCCAGCGTGGGGGATTTAAAGTCCAAAGGCTCACGAAGGCTTTAAAGGCTTTTAATCTTCCTGATTGTGTCCAGGCATCCTCAGGCCCTGCATTTGATGTGAAAATGACCAAGCTGGGGTTTCTCCGGCTCTCCTATGAGAAGCAGGACACGCTGCTCAAGCTCCTCATCCTGTCGATGGCAGCTGTCCTGTGTAAGTCTGTGCCCTCAGGGATGGCTCCTGGAGCAGGGAAACCGAGGGCAACTCGTGAGCTCTGGGTGTTCACTCTCCCCCTTCTCTGTGTTTGCAGCTTTCTCCACAAGACTTTTTTCTGTCTTAAGATTTGAAAGTGTCATCCATGAGTTTGACCCGTAAGTGTCATTTTCTCACGTCCTAGGGGTCTGTTGGGCTTTTCCTCTTCTGGAGCACATGAACTCCAGGCAATGGTGCCAGGCTCAAATTGATCCCCATTGAGCATGTGGGATTTGGAGGACATGTTTTAATACAGCTTGGTTTTTCTTTTCCACACCCAAATTCACTTGGTACCCAGGGCTCTTCTGCAACCCAGATCCAAGAACCACCTGCCATTGCTTTTCTCCTGGGAGATGGTTATTCCTGACCTGGGCACAGCAGGAGAGAGAGCTACTGGCACCAGTGTCCCAAGTGTGTTGCTGATTGAATCAGTCCCAAGGGATTTTGTCAACACACTATTAGGCCCACTGGGAGGAGGAAATAACCTTTGCAGCTGAGGTCTGGGGCAGCTGAGGGAAACTGGGCCAGCTCTCTGTGCATGGCACACACGGGAGCAGCCCCCACAGTGTTGTCACACCTTGTCATCCTCACAGGTATTTCAACTACCGCACCACCCGCTTCCTGGCTGAGGAGGGCTTCTACAAATTCCACAACTGGTTTGATGACCGAGCATGGTACCCCCTGGGCAGGATCATCGGGGGAACCATTTACCCAGGTAAAGCTTTTGCCAAGCTGAAATGCACTTAGTGCAAGGGAAATTCAGGGACTAAAAATTGGGACTGCATCCGTGAGTGCCAGCTGGAGCAGAGGGCAGCTTGGGGATGCGTCCTTGGCAGCAGCTCCCTCCTGGTGAGTCTTTGGAGCACCCTGATAACAGTGTCATTTCCATCCCCAGGCCTGATGATCACATCAGCAGCGATATACCACGTGCTGCACTTCTTCCACATCACCATCGACATCCGCAACGTCTGCGTGTTCCTGGCTCCCCTCTTCTCCTCCTTCACCACCATCGTGACCTACCACCTCACCAAAGAGCTCAAGGTACAGGGGCCAGTGGGCTGTGCCCCACAGGCTTTGGCTTTCCAGAGGAGCAGCAGCTGTTTGCCATTTGGGAGAGCAGCTGGGTCAGAGGTTTGAAGGGGACCACCACACTCCTCAAAACCCTAACCTTCTAGGAAGTGGCAGATATGTTTGAAAACTTTGTTTCTGTATGCAATTTTTATTCCTTTGACTAATAAAATCCCTAAACCCAGATGTCTTTTCCCAGGATGCAGGGGCAGGACTCCTTGCTGCTGCCATGATTGCTGTTGTGCCTGGATACATCTCTCGATCTGTTGCTGGCTCCTATGATAACGAAGGTACATTTGTGACCCTTGGGGAAGCCTTTAAGGACTGCTGGCTGCTGGAAGATGCTACAGGACACAAGAAAGGCTCTGTTCTTTCCTGGTCATCCCTGCTGGGTTTGTGCTGAACAAAGCTGACCCATCAGAGATCAGAAGTGGTTTTTGGCCATGCTGTCAAGTTGAGGGAATGTCTCCCAGCTCTGGCAGCGAGTTTACTGCAGTATCCTTGTTTGCCAGTCAGAAAGGGTTTTGTCACCTCCTAAACTCTGCCTGGAACTGGAGCAGTGTGGAACTGTGTGGTTCCTCTGTGCTTTTATCCCTGTTCCAGCAGTGACGTTGGGACTGGCAAAGGCAGCAATCTCACTGCCACTGCCTGGGGCAGAGGAGGATCCTGGTTCCTTTGCTGTAGCTGGGCTTTTAGGGGCTGTGTAGGAGTTCTTCCAGCTGGTGTGGCTGGAAGAAGCCACGTGAGATGTTAGACAAAACACCACAGTGTTTCGGTCTAGAAACCAGATACCAAACGCTTTTCCCAGGCCTGTCTCTTTGTGTGATGGAGCAGCAAAAGCATTTACAAATCTGTTTTTAATGGCTTGAGTTCTCTGCCGTGCCCCAGGGATGGCATTAACAGCTCCGGGTCCTTCTGCAGGTATCGCCATATTCTGCATGCTCTTGACCTACTACATGTGGATCAAGGCTGTCAAAACTGGCTCCATCTATTGGGCAGCCATGTGTGCCCTCGCCTATTTCTACATGGTGAGTGTCCCTTCTCCCAGCCCTGGGGTAAGCCTGACTCTGAGATCCCTCTGCATGCTCTCACCAGGAAGCCATGGTGTGCTGTTCCTGTGTCAGTGTGTCCTGAGAGCTAGAACCTCTATGGAGGTGGAAAGGGAATGGGTCCTTTCTTCCCAAAACTGGCAGGTTTTGTGTGAGGTGTTCTTAGTAGTGTTGAAAAAGCCATGTTTCTGGCAGCTGGGGTGTGGAGGATGCTCTAAGATAGAGCAGATCCTAGCTGATATTGCTATTGCGTGAAAATTCTGCCTGTGATCCCAGAAAAGCTAAACCTCTGTGTTTTACCTCAGCTCTGCAGCTGTTCAGTCCTGGAGCTTGTGGGTTTGTGTCTGGTTTGTGTCCTGACAGGTCTCCTCGTGGGGTGGCTACGTCTTCCTGATCAACCTCATCCCCCTGCACGTCCTGGTGCTGATGCTCACCGGGCGCTTCTCCCACAGGATCTACGTAGCCTATTGCACAGTCTACTGCTTGGGAACCATCCTCTCCATGCAGATCTCCTTTGTTGGCTTCCAGGTGGGCACCAGGAGGGTTTGCAGACTTGGGGGTGGGTTCTAACAGAGCAGCAGCCTGCTGGCACTTGATTTTACTACTTGCCTTCATCTTTGAGGTCCTGAGTGAGTGCTGACTCCTTGTTCTAGCTTCCATTATGCTGAGTCCTTGCCACCTTTGGAAAAATGAGCCTTTGGGTGTGCTGGGTGATTTTCAAAGCTCCTTATAACCTTCCTGGCACTGATTATCTTTCATAAAAATATCTTTGGTTTTGGTGGAGGAAACACTCATGCCATATTTGTTTTGGTATGGCAGGAAACAGGCCTGTCCCATTTTCAAGAGAATCTGGTTAATTTTCCACATGAATCAAAGCAGATATAGAAAAAGGACTCGTACCAGCTGTGCCAGTCACAGGGAGGGAACAGTTGAACATGTTCCTGTGACTGGCAGAGATTGTGCCAAGCAGTGATTTGTGACAAAAGCCAGCAACAGCTCCTGTTCATTTCTGTGTCTGACCACGCTGTGCCCCACTCCCAGCCCGTCCTCTCCTCAGAGCACATGGCTGCCCTCGGAGTCTTCGGCTTGTGCCAGATCCATGCCTTCGTGGACTACCTCCGGAGCAAGCTGAACCCGCAGCAGTTCGAAATCCTCTTCAGGAGTGTCATTTCCCTGGTCGGCTTCGTCCTCCTCTCTGTCGGGGCCGTGCTGATGCTCACAGGTAGCCCAAGGCTGTGGCAATTACAAGGGTGTTTCACCCTCTTTCCTTGCTTCCAAAGGCATGGAATTTGTCCGTCCTAACTCTGTGTTACTGTGGTGCCAGTGCCTGTGAGTCCCCTCAATGCGGGAGGTTGGGACCTGCCCAAATCGGTGCATTAGCAAGGAATATTTAAGCAGCAGCTGTAGGCTAGGAGGGGCAGAGACTCTGGGGACACCAGGCTGGTGCTGCAAATACTGATTGTTGCTCTGTAGTAGTGAAGAGATACTAAAGGCAGAGGTTAGGCAGGGAAGAGTTTTTAAGAGTGGAATTGCATTGTAATTCCTTTCTAAAATGGCAGCTTTGAGTAGCAGAGATTCTAAATGAGGTCTGGGATCATTCATTTAGCCTCATGTCCTTCCCTGGCAGAGTATGTGTCAGCATTGCCCGTTACTCTGCTGGATCCAAAGAGGATTTGTTTTCTCCACTTTCCTAGGGAAAATCTCCCCGTGGACGGGGCGCTTCTATTCCCTGCTGGACCCTTCCTATGCCAAGAACAACATCCCCATCATCGCCTCTGTCTCTGAACACCAGCCCACCACTTGGTCCTCCTACTACTTCGACCTGCAGCTCCTTGTTTTCATGTTCCCAGGTGAGTTGCCTGACCCTGAGTTGGTCACCAGAGGGTTTTCCTCCCTCTTCTGGCTATGCTGAGCCTGCTGTGTCCCTCAGTGCCTGGTTTTATTTCATCTCTGAGCTGAACCTAACCCCTTTTTCTCCCCCCTCACAGTTGGTCTCTACTACTGCTTCAGCAACCTCTCAGATGCCCGTATCTTCATCATCATGTACGGTGTGACCAGCATGTACTTCTCTGCTGTCATGGTGAGGGCTGCGGGCGCCAGCACCGCCACTGAGTGCTCATAACCATTTAATTTGTTTTTCTGAACTGGGTGATGATTCTTTCACCCTGAGGGCTTTTCTCCCTTCCATAAATGTGGTTTTGTTTCACCTCTCTCTGCAGTGAGGGAAGGTGAAGTTGCAAAACTCAGTGATTTGGGTGTTACTCATGTCCCTGGGGTCAGTGCTCCTGGTCAGTGTTTCTGATCTCCCAGAGCCAAGCTCCCAGTGAAATCTCAAATAAATTCTCTGGGTTTTCAGGCTGCTGATGAGTCCATTTTCACTCTTCCTGTGGCACCTTGAACATTAAATGTGGTTGAGTTACGGTGTGGAGTTAGCTATCAATCCTTGCTTCCACCTAAGATTGCTGAAGTGACCTCAGTTTCCCATGTGGGTGAATTTTGAGCACTTCAGGGAATTTCCCTTGGGGGTGTCTGAGATGGTGGCAGCTCCCCACTAAATAAAACAGCCACAGGTTTATCCCGAGGCTGATAGATCCACTGAATTTGAGGTGCTGGACTAGGAATGGCATCCAGTTCACTCCTCCCTTGGATTTCAGCTGGATTCCTTCTCCAGCAGTTCTGCTGTTGCCATAGGTGCGTCTCATGCTGGTGCTGGCTCCAGTGATGTGCATCCTGTCTGGCATCGGGGTCTCTCAGGTCTTGTCCACCTACATGAAGAACCTGGATATCAGCCGGCCAGACAAGAAGAGCAAAAAGCAGCAAGACTCCACCTACCCCATTAAAAATGAGGTGAGCACCAGGACGGCTCAGGAAGACTCCTGGTCCTGATGGGCTGAGTGCAGGAGGCTGACGGCCCCGTCCCTCCAGTGCTGAGACCCTGGGTTGTTCCCACAGGTTGCCAGTGGCATGATCCTGGTCATGGCGTTCTTCCTGATCACCTACACCTTCCACTCCACCTGGGTGACCAGCGAGGCCTATTCCTCCCCCTCCATCGTTCTCTCTGCCCGGGGTGGGGATGGCAGCAGGATCATCTTTGATGACTTCCGAGAAGCTTATTACTGGCTGCGGCACAACACGCCGGAGGTACGGGCTGCTGGGGCCTCGGGCACCCCACATTGCCCACTGCAGTGCTGATGCCCACCCCGTGTTTGGTGCAGGATGCCAAGGTGATGTCCTGGTGGGACTACGGGTACCAGATCACTGCCATGGCCAACCGGACCATCCTGGTGGACAACAACACCTGGAACAACACGCACATCTCCCGCGTCGGCCAGGTGGGTCCCTCCCTCCCCGCTGCCTTGGCCAGCCTTTTGGGCACCACATGAACGCTGGCTGACACCACGTCTGCCCCAGGCCATGGCATCGACAGAGGAGAAAGCCTACGAGATCATGAGGGAGCTGGACGTCAGCTATGTACTGGTCATCTTTGGTGGCCTCACCGGGTACTCATCGGACGGTAAGATCCTGCTGTGAGCCAGGTCAGACCAGCCAAGGGTGCTGGTGGCTGAATCCCACCTCCAGCTGGGGCTGTGGAGTGAGAATGGACCTGGAATGCTCCTCTTTGGAGCTGGTGCTCAACTCAGCCTTGCTTTTGGGCCCCCCACATGACCTCCACCCTCCCTCCTGGCCCCCCAGCTCAGCTTGGCTTCTCGTTCCTTTACCTCATCCCAGCTTCTTGTTCTTTCACCCCAAAGCAACCCCTTGCTCTTGGCCCCCCAAGTCAACTCAAGCTCTCATTCTTTACCCCCCAACTCTGCCTTACAGACATCAACAAGTTCCTGTGGATGGTGCGGATCGGGGGCAGCACGGACACGGGGCGCCACATCAAGGAGCACGACTACTACACCCCCACCGGGGAGTTCCGGGTGGACCGCGAGGGCTCCCCGGTGCTGCTCAACTGCCTCATGTACAAGATGTGCTACTACCGCTTCGGCCAGGTCTACACTGAGGCCAGTGAGTCCCTGAGTCACCCCGGGGCATGGCTCTGCTTCTGGGGGGCCCCACTGCACCCTGACCTCTCTGGGCTGCGATGCAGCAGCACTGCCTGTGCTTTGCCCTCTCCTAGAGCGACCCCCAGGCTACGACCGGGTGAGGAACGCCGAAATCGGCAACAAGGACTTTGAGCTGGACGTGCTGGAGGAGGCGTACACCACAGAGCACTGGCTGGTCCGAATATACAAGGTATGGCACCAGAGCCAGCCCACACCCACCCCGTTTGGGAAAAAAAAACCATGCAATTCTACCTAATGAGCCTTCTTTTACTGCCCAGGTGAAAGATTTGGACAACCGCGGGTTGTCAAGGACGTAGAGGAGCCGGCGCTGGCCGCACCCAACACCGCACTGACCCAGCCTTGCCTGTGCAGCAGAGATTTGGGGGTTTGGTGGGCTTTCGAGGGGGGCTCTTTCGGGTTTGTTTTATACCGTTTGTAAGCGCAGGCAGCAGCGGGATGACCCTGCCCGCCCCATCCTGCCGGGAGTGATTTTTATATACACACGGAGCCGTTGCCAAATCGGGAGTTGCGGCTCTCACCGGGGCTGATTGACCAGGAATTGTGAAGAATACCAATAAATAAAAATTAATTTGGTGGGTTTCTCCCCGAGTTCTGTCACAGGGGCCGTCCAGCCGCTTTTAACGGGTTTGAAGGGGAATGGGGCGGGGGCGTGGCCTGGGTGTGCATGTGGGCGTGGCCTGTGGTGGGCGCGGGATTTTCGGATGGGGGCGTGGCCTGTGTGGCCGGTGGGCGTGGCCTGTGGCGGGCGCGGGATTCCGGTGGGGGCGTGGCCTGTGGTGGGCGCGGGATTCCGGTGGGGGCGTGGCCTGTGCGGGCGCGGGATTCCGGTGGGGGCGTGGCCTGGGCGCCCAGGTGGGCGTGGCCTGTGGCGGGCGCGGGAATCCGGGTGGGGGCGTGGTCTGTGCGGCCGGGTGGGCGTGGCCGGGGCTGCGCGCGCGCGTGGCGGGGCGGGGCTCGCGGCTCTGGCGGGAAAGGCGGCGCGGCGGAGCCGGCACCGGGACCGGGGTCGCGGCCCGGAGCGGGCCCGGCCCGGGGATGGCGGTGCCCTTCGTGGAGGACTGGGACCTGGTGCAGACGCTGGGCGAAGGCGCCTACGGGGAGTGAGTGCGGCGGGGCCGGGGGACGCGGGGTTGCTGCCGGCCGGGTCCGCCCCTTGCACGCCCCTGCCCTGCCCCTTGCGCGGCCGCTGTCCCCTCTGCCCCCATCGTGTGCCGCTTGCGCACCCGCTGCTTGGCCCTGCGGGGTTCTGCGCGGCCCCTGCATGCCCACTGTTTGCTCGCCCCTTGGCCATTACAGGCCGTGTGTGTGCCCACAGCTTGCCCGGTCCGCCCTGCTCGCCCATCACATGCCCACAGTTTGCCCGCTCTACGCCCGTTTCTCGTCCTCTGTGTGCCCACTGCTCGCCCATCACACCCCCTGCACCCCTGCGTGCCCATCGTGCCTGTGTCCCTGTCTGTTCCTGCCCGTTCCCGGTCTCCACGGGCACCATTTGCTGCCCATTCCCTGCCCGTTCCTTGCCTCCAGTGGCAATATTCCCTGCCTGCTGCCTGTCTCTGGGGAAGCATTCCCATGCCCATTCCCTGCGTGTTCCGTGCCCACCGTGCCCGCCCTGACCGCAGCCCACCGCAGGGTGCAGCTGGCCGTGAACCGCCGCACTGAGGAGGCCGTGGCCGTGAAAATCGTGGACATGAAGCGCGCGGCCGAGTGCCCGGAGAACATCAAGAAGGAAATCTGCATCAACAAGATGCTGAGCCACGAGAACGTCGTCCGGTTCTACGGACACCGGCGGGAGGGGGCCACGCAGTACCTGTTCCTGGAGTACTGCCGCGGCGGAGAGCTCTTCGACCGCATCGGTGCGGCGCGGGCTGCCCGCGGGTCCGGGGCAGTGGGGCAGCACACTTGTCATCCCCACACGGCTGAGGACTGCTCTTCCCCTTCTTCTTCCCCGTGCAGAGCCGGATGTCGGCATGCCCGAGCCGGAGGCACAGCGGTTCTTCCAGCAGCTGATTGCCGGCGTGGTGAGTGCTCCGGCGGCGCTGGAGGCGGCAGCGCCGCTGCGGCCGGGGGCGATCCCGGCCCGGCGCTGACCCTTGCTGTGATTCCCACATGGAGCAGATCCCCTGATCCCTGCCATGATTCCCACATGGCACAGATCCCCTGATCCTTGCTGTGATCCCGGCCCGGCGCTGACCTTTGCTGTGATTCCCACATGGAGCAGATCCCCTGATCCCTGCCCGGTGCTGACCCTTGCTGTGATTCCCACATGGAGCAGATCCCCTGATCCCTGCCATGATCCCTGCACGGCACAGATCCCCTGATCCTTGCCGTGATCCCTGCACGTTTCTGACCCTTGCCATGATTCCCAGACAGCACAGATCCCCTGACCCTTGCCATCATCGCTGCACGGCGCTGACCCTTGCCGTGATTCCCACACAGTGCTGATCCCCTGACCCTTGCCATGATTGCTGCACAGTACTGACCCTTGCTA